TCTTTCTCCCCCCCCCCTCCCCGCCCTCCTGGGTTAAAGGATTTGAGCAATGGGTCTGGAGGTGGAGCTCGTCGGAGGATTAGCCCGACTCGCCCGCCTCCCTCCCACGGCACACTAGGCAACGTCCGGCGGCACACTAGTGTGCCGCGGAACACCGGTTGGGAAACACTGTTCTATAGGATTTTTATTTTTGCAGGGTTTGCAGTGACGCAGAGCTCCAGGTCGAGATGCGAGTTTAGCCTTCTCAGCGAGAGCAGAACCTTAAAAAAACGGGGTCCTTTAACACTAAAGGAACATCAGGTGGGGATACTTTCACCTGCCTTTTCTTAATGGACAAACGAGGAGAGAGAGGGAGATAGGCAGGAAAGTCACAAACGCCTCTCTGCTGTGGGCGGAATTATGGAGTTAAACAGAGTTGGGAGGGACCCAAGGGTCATCTAGTCCAACCCCGCCGCAAAGTCGACAAAATGGATGAGTTAGAGCAGCCGTTCTCCAACATGGTTAGCCGCCTTGCACCAAGTCCAGCGTCGTTCGGCTGAGGTCAGTGGGGGAGCCCTAGCGGAGGTGTTGTGATCTGGAGGCAAGGGGAGTAATTTTAGCTGCTGAGAATAAATCATCTCACCCTTTGGGCGGATTGGGGCCGATTAAAAGAGTAAAAGGGTGGGTCACTCTGGAGAAGGGGGAGTTGTTCTTTATGCTCAAAAGTTAAGTATCGTATTTTTCGCTCTATAAGACGCACCAGACCACAAGACGCACCTAGTTTTGGGAGGAGGAAAACAAGAAAAAAAAATATTCTGAATCCCAGAAGCCAGAACCGCAAGAGGGATCGCTGCGCAGTGAAAGCAGCGATCCCTCTTGCTGTTCTGGCTTCTGGGATAGTTGTGCAGCCTGCATTCGCTCCATAAGACGCACACACATTTCCCCTTACTCTTTAGGAGGGAAAAAGCGACTCTTACACAGCAAAAAATACGGTATTTAGGAACAGGAAGGTGCTTCAGTTTCGAACAGGGCCGTCTTAAGCATATTTGGCGCCGTGGTGCAAAGATCTCTCTGGCGCCCCCTTTCCCAGAGTTGACCTTTTTTTAGGGCTGGAGGAGGTGGGCAGCTGCTGGAGGGTGGCTCCTCTGGCACGGAAGAGGCGGAGGCTACATGTGGCGCCTCCCGGCTCAGCTAGACGCATCGTGCCGCGGTGACCATGGCAGGCAGCACACCTGCGCCGAGTGAACGAGGGCGCGTGCGCCGCTCTTGCTGAGCATCGGCTTGTTTTTCCCCCCTTTTAGCCTTCTGGCGCCCCGTAGAATTCTGCGCCTGCAGACTAAAAGGGGGAAACTGAGCCGGCGGGAGCGGCACACGCACCCTCGCTCACTCAGCGCACTCGTTTGGTGTTCCCCGGTCTCTCGCCTGGTGCCCTCCCGAACTTGGCGCCCTGGCGCCCCGCGCCACTTGCCTCTATGGGTAAGACGGGCCTGGTTCCGAGAGCACAGAGGGAAAGTTATGTGGCGTATGACGGAACTTCAGCGAAATATAAGTCAACTGGAAAGGAAACATTCATAGAATCATAGAATCATAGAATCATAGAATCATAGAGTTGGAAGAGACCACAAGGGCCATCGAGTCCAACCCCCTGCCAAGCAGGAAACACCATCAGAGCACTCCTGACATATGGTTGTCAAGCCTCTGCTTAAAGACCTCCAAAGAAGGAGACTCCACCACACTCCTTGGCAGCAAATTCCACTGTCGAACAGCTCTTACTGTCAGGAAGTTCTTCCTAATGTTTAGGTGGAATCTTCTTTCTTGTAGTTTGGATCCATTGCTCCGGGTCCGCTTCTCTGGAGCAGCAGAAAACAGCCTTTCTCCCTCCTCTATGTGACATCCTTTTATATATTTGAACATGGCTATCATATCACCCCTTAACCTCCTCTTCTCCAGGCTAAACATGCCCAGCTCCCTTAGCCGTTCCTCATAAGGCATCATTTCCAGGCCTTTGACCATTTTGGTTGCCCTCCTCTGGACACGTTCCAGTTTGTCAGTGTCCTTCTTGAACTGTGGTGCCCAGAACTGGACACAGTACTCCAGGTGAGGTCTGACCAGAGCAGAATACAGTGGCACTATTACTTCCCTTGATCTAGATGCTATACTCCTATTGATGAGGCCCAGAATTGCATTGGCTTTTTTAGCTGCCGCGTCACACTGTTGGCTCATGTCAAGTTTGTGGTCAACCAAGACTCCTAGATCCTTTTCACATGTACTGCTCTCAAGCCAGGTGTCACCCATCTTGTATTTGTGCCTCTCATTTTTTTTGCCCAAGTGCAATACTTTACATTTCTCCCTGTTAAAATTCATCTTGTTTGTTTTGGCCCAGTTCTCTAATCTGTCAAGGTCGTTTTGAAGTGTGATCCTGTCCTCTGGGGTGTTAGCCACCCCTCCCAGTTTGGTGTCATCTGCAAATTTGATCAGGATGCCCTTGAGTCCATCATCCAAGTCGTTGATAAAGATGTTGAATAAGACCGGGCCCAAGACAGAACCCTGTGGCACCCCACTAGTCACTCTTCTCCAGGATGAAGAGGAACCATTGATGAGCACCCTTTGGGTTCGGTCAGTCAGCCAGTTACAAATCCACTGAGTGGTAGCATAGTCAAGACCGCATTTTACCAGCTTCTTTACAAGAATATCATGGGGCACCTTGTCAAATGCCTTGCTGAAATCAAGGTAGACTACATCCACTGCGTTCCCTTCATCTACCAGGCTTGTAATTCTGTCAAAAAACGAGATCAGGTTAGTCTGACATGACTTATTTTTCAGAAATCCATGCTGACTATTGGTGATCACAGCATTCCTTTCTAGGTGCTCACAGACTGTTTGCTTAATGATCTGCTCCAGAATCTTCCCTGGTATTGATGTCAGACTGACTGGGCGGTAATTATTTGGGTCCTCTCTTTTCCCCTTTTTGAAAATAGGGACAACATTTGCCCTCCTCCAGTCTGCCGGGACTTCGCCTGTTCTCCAGGAATTCTCAAAGATGACTGCCAGTGGTTCTGAAATCACATCTGCCAGTTCTTTTAATACTCTTGGATGCAGTTCATCTGGCCCTGGAGACTTGAATACATCTAGACTAGCCAAGTATTCTTGTACTATCTCCTTAGTTATTCTGGGCTGTGTTTCCTCTGCTGAATCATTTGCTCCAAATTCTTCAGGTCGGGCATTGTTTTCTTTATCGGAGAAGACTGAGGCAAAGAAGGCATTGAGGAGTTCAGCCCTTTCTGTGTCCCCTGTTTGCATTTCACCATCTTCTCCTCTGAGTGACCCCACGGTTTCTTTGTTCTTCCTTTTGCTACGAACATACCCATAAAAGCCTTTTTTGTTGCTTTTAACCTCTCTAGCAAGCCTGAGTTCATTTTGTGCTTTAGCTTTTCTGACTTTGTGTCTACACGTGCTGGCTATTTGTTTGAATTCCTCTTTGGTGGTTTCCCCCCTTTTCCATTTTTTGTACACATCCTTTTTTAATCTTAACTCAGTTAAAAGTTCTTTAGATAGCCACCCTGGCTTCTTTAGGCACCTTCCATGTTTCCGTCTCATTGGTATTGCCTGAAGTTGTGCTTTTACTATCTCCCTCTTAACAAACTCCCAGCCATCTTGAACTCCCTTTCCTTTTAGTATTACTGTCCATGGGATCTCACCCAGCACTTCCCTAAGCTTTATGAAGTCGGCTTTCTTAAAGTCGAGAAATTGAGTCCTAGTATGCTTGGCTGCTCCTTTCCGCTGTATAGTAAACTTCAGAAGAGCATGATCACTCGCGCCTAATGATCCTTCCACTTCTACCCCACTAACCAGGTCATCAACATTGGTTAGGACCAGATCTAAAATGGCTGTTCCTCTTGTTGCTTCTCCCACTTTCTGGACAATGAAGTTGTCTGCAAGGGCAGTGAGGAATCTGTTTGACCTTATGCTCTTGGCTGAGTTTGACATCCAACAAATATCCGGGTAATTGAAGTCCCCCATTACTACTATCTCCCTTCCTTTTGCATGCTTGGCCATCTGTTCCAGGAAGGCATCATCTATGTCCTCCGTTTGGCTTGGGGATCTATAGTAAACTCCCACAATGAGGTCACTGTTATTCTTCTCTCCCTTAATTTTGACCCAAATGCTCTCACTTTGGCTTTGAGGTTCTAAATCTTGGATCTCTTCACAGGTATACACATCCCTGACATATAACGCCACTCCTCCTCCTTTCTTGTCTGGTCTGTTTCTTTGAAATAGATTGTATCCCTCCATTATTACATTCCAATCGTGGGATTTATCCCACCAGGTTTCAGTGATTCCTATTATGTCATATTTAGTTTGCTGTACCAGGAGCTCAAGCTCATCTTGTTTATTTCCCATGCTTTGCGCATTAGTGTACAGACATTGAAGTCCATTAATCATTCCCCCGTGTCTCTTATTTAAGGATTTTCTCCTCCCACCACTAGGTCTGCATGCTCTTTGCTCCATTCGGTCTATGACATTTGGATGATCATCTTCATCAATTGATAGACTCCTACCTTCAGGAGCACTGTCTCCCTCCCCCACATTAGTCAGTTTAAAGCCCTCCTGATGAGGTTTCTGAGATTTTTTGCAAAAACATTCCTCCCAACCGTTGTGAGGTGCAGCCCATCGCTTGCCAGAAGTCCATCTTCAAGAAACTGCATTCCGTGATCTAAGAATCCAAACCGTTCCTGTTTGCACCATTTGACATTGGAGCACCCCAAATCATTTGCACAGAAAATAGCAGATCTAACAAATTATTGTTGTCGTTTCTGTCCTTTCTATTTCCGTATTTATTGGTTTTATCTGTACAGTCGTACCTCGGATCCCAAACGCCGTGCGACTCGAACGTTTTGGCTCCCGAACGCCGCAAACCCGGAAGCGGGTGTTCTGTTTTGCGAACGTTCTTTGGAACCTGAACGTCTGACGCAGCTTCCAATTGGCTGCAGGAGCTTCCCGCAGCCAATCGGAAGCCGCGCCTTGGTTTCCAAACGTTTTGGAAGTCGAACGGACTTCCGGAACGGACTCCGCTCGACTTCTGAGGTACGACTGTATTATTACTGTGACATCTGAGAAAGGGCCTAGGTGTGATCTTGCTGGCAGGCTTTCCAGTGGGGCAGCTGGTTGGCCACTGGGAGAACAAGATGCTGAACTGGGTGGGCCATAGGTCGGATCCAGCAGGCCCTTCTAGGACTCGCATAAAGGCCCCTTGCAATTCTGAGTTCTGCTGAGGGCACCAGGTTGATGAAAGTCACATGAGAGCCAGGGGGCAGGATTGCTGGAGGTCTCGCAGAATCTCCCCAAGGCCCTATGGCGGGTCAGCGAAGATTCGCCACCTAAGGGAGATGCGTTGGCCTCGCTTTGCGTTTATGACGAGCTTTGCCGCTTGGAAGACGTCAAACGGAGGCGCCTTTTTGTTCTGTCTCTGAAGGATTTCACACACACCCGTCTTCCGCAAAACGCAGGTCAGGTCCGCAGGCCCCGGCTGAGCACATAGCGAGAGGCCATGGCCAGGTTCCAGCGATGTTTCTCTAGGATCCACCGGCACTCTTCCCGGGAGTGAGAGCTCAGGTGGAAGAGCTGGTTCACCTGCGGAACAGAAGGAGACCGCGTCAGAGGGACCCGAGACCGGAAAGGGTTTCTGGGGGCAGCTATAAGAGATCGCTATACGTGTCCATTGGGCCGCTTCTGATCTGCAGAACCGACACTCGGCGCAAGGGGTTGGCGCATCGCTCTGTTAAGCAGAAGGTTGGTGGTTCGAACCCACCCAGGGATGGCTGTGGGCAGAACTTTCCTGCATGGCAGGGGGTTGGACTAAATGACCTTTGGTGTCCTACAATTCTATGAAATACCCATTCCACATTTGCAAGAAATCGTTCTTATAGTGCACAACTATGGAACTCACTGCCTGTTGACACCAGGCAAGCGCCTTTGCTCTTTCGGCACCTGCTAAAAACATTTTTGGTTCAAAAAAGCTTAGATGCTTAGAATGTTTTAATATTATTTTTAGCCTATTGTTACTTTTAACCTTCCAACAGTCTTACAATTTCCCTTAGTGATAACTTTGGTTCTTCTGTCCTGTGGATAAGCTGCTTCGAGGCTTTTCTCTACAATCAAGCAGTGTATAAATTTCAGGAAATAAATACAGTGGTGCCCCGCAAGACGAATGCCTCGCAAGACGGAAAACCCGCTAGACGAAAGGGTTTTCCGTTTTTGAGTTGCTTCGCAAGACGAATTTCCCTATGGGCTTGCTTCACAAGACGAAAATGTCTTGCGAGTCTTGCCATTTTCCCCCCGCTCCCCCCCTTTTTCTAAGCTGTTAAGCCGCTAATAGCCTTTTAGCAGCTAAGCCGCTAAGCCTTTAATAGCCGCTAAGCCGCTAAATCGCTAATAGCGCTAAGCCGCTAATGGGCTTGCTTCACAAGACGAAAAAACCGCTAGACGAAGAGAATCGCGGAACGGATTCTTTTCATCTTGCGAGGCACCACTGTAAATGAACAATAGAAGGAATGAATAATAGAAGGAACAAGAAAGGAGATTGCGACTCAAGAGCAGGAAGAATTTTCTGATAGTAAGAGCTGTTCATAGTGATGTATGGATGTGAGAGCTGGACCATAAAGGCGGCTGATTGCCGAAGAATGGATGCTTTTGAATTCTGGTGCTGGAGGAGACTCTTGAGAGTCCCATGGACTGCAAGGAGATCAAACCTCTCCATTCTGAAGGAAATCAGCCCTGAGTGCTCACTGGAAGGACAGATCCTGAAGCTGAGGCTCCAAGACTTTGGCCACCTCATGAGAAGAGAAGACTCCCTGGAAAAGACCCTGATGTTGGGAAAGATGGAGGGCACAAGGAGAAGGGGACGACAGAGGACGAGATGGTGGGACAGTGTTCTCAAAGCGACCAGCATGAGTTTGACCAAACTGCGGGAGACAGTGGAAGACAGGAGGGCCTGGCGTGCTCTGGTCCAGGGGGTCATGAAGAGTTGGACACGACTAAACGACTCAACAACAACAACATATGCATGCTCAAGTAGGAAATAGTAGTCTTTGTAGTTAACAGGATTTCTTCTGATCTAACTTTGTCCCACGTGAGTTTTTTTTGAAATGCTCAGAGGAAATCTGATTGGTTCTTACGAACACTGCATAAAAAGTTCTTTTGTGAATAAAACGACCTGGGCCGAGGGGTGTAGAGGGAATTATTATACGCACTCCTCCCAGAGTCTTGCTGGTCAAGCCTCGCGTGTGTTTTATTAATCGGGGTCCAATCCTTCCTTGCTTTGGGAACGCAACACCCAGTTCTCGTGTTACATCAGCTGTGCCTGCCGGGGTCTGATGGGGAATATTTGGGGAAGGCCCAGCGAGAGCCTCGTCTCTCCGTGGAACGGGGGCCAGGGCGCCTCTGGAGAACCGGACCTCTCACCTTTAGCAACTGGCTGGCTTTCTGAACATCCCAGCCGCTCGCCCTCAAGGCCTCGTGGCATTCCTCCGTCGTGGCGCCGTGGACCCTGTCTTCTACCTGGGGAGGCAAACAGCAAAAACAGTCAAAGGGAAAATATTCCCCAGGCGACCTCAACCCCTGCAATCTGGTGCGAGCAAGACGTCAGGGAGGGGAAAAGATTTGGGTTTTGTTATTGTTGTTTTTTATTATTAAAATAATTCAGCATTAATACACACATATTACGAATGTGCAAGCATACAAACATACAGCGGTGCCCCGCAAGACGAATGCCTCGCAAGACGGAAAACCTGCTAGACAAAAGGGTTTTCCGTTTTGGAGGTGCTTCGCAAAACAAATTTCCTATGGGCTTGCTTCGCAAGACGAAAATGTCTTGCGAGTTCCTGCAGGGTTTTTTTTCCCTCCCCCCCCTTTTTTCCCAAGCCGCAAAGCCGCTTATCAGCTGATCCGCTAAGCCGCTAATCAGCTGATCCGCTAAGGCGCTAAGCCGCTTATCAGCTGATCCGCTAAGGCACTAAGCCGCTAATCAGCTGATCCGCTAAGGCGCTAAGCAGCTTAACAGCTGATCCGCTAAGCCGCTTATCAGCTGATCCGCTAAGGCGCTAAGCCGCTTATCAGCTGATCCGCTAAGCCGCTTATCAGCTGATCCGCTAAGCCGCTTATCAGCTGATCCGCTAAGCCCGCTAAGCCGCTAATAGCGCTAATCCGCTAAGCCGCTAATGGGCTTGCTTCGCAAGACGAAAAAACCGCAAGACGAAGAGACTCGCGGAACGGATTCTTTTCGTCTTGCGAGGCACCACTGTACATTTCATACAATCCTTAAAAATGTTCAAACATGCCTACACTCAATCCCACAGATAATTCCTTTTTTTTATTGCGTTTTATTTAAGAAAGATACACATTTTACATCATTGTACAAATATATACATACAAAAAAAGACTCCGTCATAAAAAAGAATAGAGAAAAGAAAAAAGAAAAGAGAAAAGCAGAAAAAGAAGAAGAGAAAAAAAAAGACACACAAAGCATGTACAGTTACAAATAACAGAACTTCCGTCCAACTCGGTTTTGGAGTTACCTATTCTTACATTATTTCTGCAGTATTGCTAAAACGTTATACATCGATGATTTTAGTTATCGTCTATTGATAAGTTATTTATTCCCTGGATGGCCTCAAAATAAATTAAAAATTTATTCCATTCGTCTTTATGTTTAACTGTGTTATTTTATCTTATTTTTTGTGTTAGTCTCGCTAGTTCCATATATTGATATAGCCTCATTTGCCACTCTCCGACCGTAGGTAAATCAGGGGTTTTCCATTTTTGTGCAATTTGAATCCTCGCCGCAGCCATGGCATATTGGACAAAGGTTTGATCTATTTTCTTTATTTCTTTACCAATCATACCTAAAAGAAACAACTCAGGGGTTTTGGGGAAATTATACTTCAAAATTTTTTTCAGTTCGTCATATATTTGTTTCCAAAATTCCTTCACTACATCACAGGTCCACCAGATATGGAAAAAGGTCCCAACCTTGTCCCTACATCTCCAGCAGGTATTATCAACAGTTTTGTACATCTTTCCTAACTTTGCTGGGGTCAAGTACCAGCGATACAACATTTTCTCTAAATTTTCACGAAGGGCTACGCATGCTGTAAATTTTACACCTTTCGTCCACAGTATCTGCCATTTATTATAGTCTATATTGTGACCAAGGTCTTTTTCCCATTTTACCATCACTCCCTTCACCAGATCTTCTTTGGTATCCCATTCCAATAATTGTTTGTACATTTTGGAGAGGAGTTTGTCATTACTCTCCAAAATTTCCACCTGAAACCTTGATTTTTTTTCACTCATCCCCACTCTCTTATGCTCGCCCCATAAAGCATTAATCTGGTGGAAATGCAGCCACTCTTTTATTTTATCTTTCAACTCCTCATAGGGCTTCACCTTCCATCCTACTTCTGTCTTTACTAAAAGGTCCTCATATGTGCATCTTTCATCAGTCATGTTTATTTTTTTAATTTTAATGATATCAGTTGGTGAGAGCCACCATGGGATGCCTTTTTCGATCAGTTTTTTATACCTCTTCCACACTTCTAGTAATGGGCCTCTAATTATATGATTGGAGAAGCCTCTGTGAACCTCCCCTTTCTCTTGCCAGAGGTAGGCATGCCACCCAAATCTAATATTAAAGCCCTCCAAATCTAATAGATCTGTATTTCTGGATGTGAGGGCGATCTGGCTGCGACATCTGTCACCCCATTGATCGCCAGGGTTGATTCGGCTGATCTGGCTGGCTAGGCGGGTGTCCCCTTCCTCCCTCACCGCTCCATGTGCGTCCCTCCCGAAGCTGCGCGCTCGGTGGAAGAGGAGGACCATCCCAGATAGAAGGAGTGTACCGTTCTTCGGTCAAGGGTATACGATAGCTGCGCTCCCCTGCTAGAACCTCCAAACAATCCCACAGATAATTCCTATTCCCATCCACCACCCCCTCACCCCCCCCTTGTGTTAGACTTCCAATCTACTCAATTGCAATTTCTTTCCACTTCTATTACTTTCTTTCACACACCTTTAACCTAATTTCATGCTTCTTTTTCTATTACACATTGTTATCCATCTTATTTAGTATTTCAGTATTTGAAACGGAACTTGTTTATTCTAATAGGAGTTCTGGTTTTTCAGTATGGTTTTGCAAGTATCCTTTAAACATCTTCCAGTCCCTGTCTATCTTCTCTTTTGTGATCCTTCCAATTTCGGGGAGGGGAAAAGATTTGAATCATAGACTTGTAGAGCTGGAGGGGAACTCTGAAGATCATTCAGTCCAACCCCCCCCCCCTGCAACGGAGGAATGTGGAGCTGTCCCATATGGGGATTGAACCTGCAACCTTGGCGTTATCAGCAGGACGCTCTAAGCAACTGAGCTATCCGGTGGTCCAATCATTGCCCCACCCATTATTGGTTCCTGCAAGGGGTTGGGCTGGATGACCTCTGGGGGTCCCAGCGCTGTGATTCCGCAATTCCATGCATAGAATTCTATTACTCTTTCCTATGATCCATGGGGGGCCCCTACCTTTCCATTAATTATTATTATTATTATTATTATTATTATTATTATTATTAATTTGTTATTATTAAATTGGATTTATATACCGCTGTACACCCAGAGGTCTCAGAATAAAATCAAGATATAAAACCACAAAATACAGAATAAAGTTAGACTGGATGACCCTCGTGGACTCTTATAAACTCTACAGCTCCACCTCTCTTTCAAATCAGAACCAGTGGAGGCGGTGAGGGCCCTGTGTGAGTGTCTGGAGGCGGTTGGAGGATGGATGGCGGCTAACAGACTGAGGTTGAATCCTGACAAGACAGAAGTACTGTTTTTGTGGGACAGGAGGCGGGCAGGTGTGGGGGACTCCCTGGTCCTGAATGGGGTAACTGTGCCCCTGAAGGACCAGGTGCGCAGCCTGGGAGTCATTTTGGACTCACCGCTGTCCATGGAGGCGCAGGTCAATTCAGTGTCCAGGGCAGCTGTTTACCAGCTCCTTCTGGTGCACAGGATGAGACCCTCCCTGCCTGCGGACTGTCTCGCCAGAGTGGTGCATGCTCTGGTTATCTCCCGCTTGGACTACTGCAATGCGCTCTACGTGGGGCTACCTTTGAAGGTGACCCAGAAACTACAACTAATCCAGAATGCGGCAGTCAGACTGGTGACTGGGAGTGGCTGCCGAGACCACATAACACCAGTCCTGATAGATCTGCATTGGCTCCCAGTACGTTTCCGAGCACAATTCAAAGTGCTGGTGCTGACCTTGAAAGCCCTAAACAGCCTCGGTCCTGTATACCTGAAGGAGCGTCTCCACCCCCATCATTCAGCCTGGACACTGAGGTCCAGCTCCGAGGGTCTTCTGGCGGTTCCCTCCCTGTGAGAAGTGACGTTGCAGGGAACCAGGCACAGGGCCTTCTCAGTGGTGGCACCCGCCCTGTGGAATGCCCTCCCATCAGATATCAAAGAGAAAAACAACTATCTGACATTCAGAAGACAACTGAAGGCAGCCCTGTTCAGGGAAGTTTTTAATGTGTGACATCTTAGTGTATTTTTGGTCTTTGTGGAAGCCACCCAGAGTGGCTGGGGAAACCCAGCCAGATGGGCGGGGTATAAATAATAAATTTATTATTATTATTATTATTATTATTATTATTATTATTATTAGTACATTTCTAGGACTCCCTGCTGCTATCTTTGGCATCGTTTGGTCAAATCCGTGCCCTCACCTCCTTGATCTTCTTCTCGATCTCCGCCAGGGTTGGCCTCTGCCCTCCAGAAGGGGCTGGGGGCAGCGCCCCTTTGGGGGGTGGGGGTCTGGGCGGCCGTTGCTCCTTCTCCCTGGCCCCCGAAGGAGGGCCTTCGGGCTTGGGCAGGGCCCAGGAGGGCAGGGCGGGATTCGGCAGGCGGGACAAAGGCTTCCGACCCCGTGGCTCCAGCTGCTGCGCTGGATGAGGCAAAGGTCCCGGCAGGTCACTTGAACGGCGCTGTTGGGAAGAGACGCCAAGAGGGTCCGGCTTGAAGGCGGGCAGCCGGGCTTTGGTGCGCAGAACGCTGAAGTCCGAAAGAGACTCCAAGCTCTTGGAGAGACCTGGAAGGAGGAACAGAAAGAAGCAGGGGTGAGAGAAAGGTGACGTTGCATATTTTTTGGAGAGAATCGGGATTTATTTTATTTTTGAATTTGCATCTTATTTATTTGTTAACATTCTTATGCTACATCGGTAAACGTTGACATATTACATTACAGGGCTTACTATAATTTCCAACGTGTATAAAAAAATTATCTACAAATTTTATATACCTAGAAAGAAAATGAAACAAAAACAAAAAGGAAGAACAAAGAGGAAAAACAAAAACAAATTCCCCCCCCCAAATCATATACAGTGGTACCTCGGGTTACAGACACTTCAGGTTACATATGCTTCAGGTTACAGACTCCGCTAACCCAGAAATGGTACATCGGGTTAAGAACTTTGCTTCAGGATGAGAACAGAAATCGTGCACCGGCGGCAGCAGGAGGCCCCATTAGCTAAAGTGGTGCTTCAGGTTAAGAACAGTTTCAGGTTAAGAATGGACCTCCGGAACGAATTAAGTACTTAACCCGAGGTACCAGTGTACATACCAACACACTAGACTTCCTGTCTATCCTGTTGTATATTTCCTTTTTTACAAATGAATGTTATTATTGTACATTTCTTTACATTTTATCTAATACATTCCTATATCAATATGTGCTCTTAGTCTTATTTCTCAACTCAGTCTCACTCCAATCGGGAAGTAAGCCAGGGCCGGATTTAGGTTTGATGAGGCCCTGAGCTACTGAAGGTAATGGAGCCCTTTCTATGTCCAGCTGTCCTTCATCAACAACAAATTGCCGCTGGTTTTTTTTTTTGGGTTGAATATATGCTATATGGTCATTGATGGACCTCATAGGTATCTCAAGCCATTTGCGCATGTTGCCCTGCAACCAGTCCATGCAGAATGTAGGCACCCTATATATAGAAAGGAGCAAACCAGTGATATTTTAGGGAGCGGGCGAGTAGGTGGGGCCCATGACTGACATCTACGTGCCTACGCAACACAAAACACTGTTGCTGTAGGTACATTATTTGTTTTTTATCTTATATTTTGGAAATGTACATCTAGGTTTTTTCCCCTTTAAATTTTTTGTGGGCCCCCAAGAGAGTAGGGTCCTAAGCTATAGTTTGTTTAGCTTATACCTAAGTCCGGCACTGAGCCCAGGGCCAGGACTCCTGGGTTCTATTGTTAAGTATACTTGGTTTAATTCATGCTGAAATGAGAAGTGGATTTAATGAAACTTTGACATGGGATAAGATCCAACCTCTCCATTCTGAAGGAAATCAGCCCTGAGTGCTCACTGGAAGGATAGATCCTGAAGCTGAGGCTCCAAGACTTTGGCCACCTCATGAGAAGAGAAGACTCCCTGGAAAAGACCCTGATGTTGGGAAAGATGGAGGGCGCAAGGAGAAGGGGACAACGGAGGACGAGATGGTGGGACAGTGTTCTCGAAGCTACCAGCATGAGGTTGACCAAACTGCGGGAGGCAGTGGAAGACAGGAGGGCCTGGCGTGCTCTGGTCCAGGGGGTCACGAAGAGGCGGACACGACTAAACAACAAGAAGGATTGCTGTATTTCAAAGAAGTGGAAAAGTTGTCAAGCTATTTCTGGATCGTGGATACGTCCAGGAAAACCAACCCTAACATGGGAATATGCTGCTGGAATATTCCTAAATAGATGAATGATTAACTATTGAATGTTCCCATGAGGAACGGCTCAACATGAGGAACGGCTAAGGGAGCTGGGCATGTTTAGCCTGGAGAAGAGGAGGTTAAGGGGTGATATGATAGCCATGTCCAAATATATAAAGGGATGTCACATAGAGGAGGGAGAAAGGTTGTTTTCTGCTGCTCCAGAGAAGCGGACACGGAGCAATGGATCCAAACTACAAGAAAGAAGTTTCCACCTAAACATTCGGAAGAACTTCCTGACAGTAAGAGCTGTTCGACAGTGGAATTTGAGCCAAGGAGTGTAGTGGAGTCTCCTTCTTTGGAGGTCTTTAAGCAGAGGCTTGACAACCATATGTCAGGAGTGCTCTGATGGTGTTTCCTGCTTGGCAGGGGGTTGGACTCGATGGCCCTTGTGGTCTCTTCCAACTCTATGATTCTGTCATTCTATGATTCCCTATTTTGTTTGTTCCCTACTTTGAGTGGCAAATCTTGCAAGGGTGGTTTCTGGAATAGAAGCCGATGCCTAAGGGCCGAGGTGTCGTCGCTCCCCCCAATAAAATATTTGAGGCCTCCCCCTCAAGATAATGGGAATTGCCATTCAAATGGTGCTCCAGCAACTTCTCTCAGAGCAACATAAATTGTTGGAACACCTATTATTATTATTATTATTATTATTATTATATTAGAGGCGGATGAAGCAGACACTCACGAGCCAACTGCAACAGCTGCTTGCCTCCAGCTCGATTCTGGGGATTGGAGTTAACCGCCCGCGCTTTCGGTTTCTTCCTAGGGTAGAAAGCAAACAGCCCTCTAATTACATCTATTTAAAATAATGATGATAATAATTGCATAGCTTTACTAATAGCTACTCCCCGGACTGGCCTTCCGGCAAACGCGAAATCCTGAGCCGCAGATCCTTTTGCACCTAAAACCTTTAGAACCTCATATTCCTGCCGAAGCAGCTCAGAACATGTCCCTTTCTAAAAATGTTGTTGCCAGGAGCTTATTGGTTTCAATGGCCAATTAATTCCTTCTTTTATTCCTTGCAAACTGCGTCGCAATGCCATCGAAGGCGGTTGGGGCCAGTCTCACCCCCGACCACCAGGGGGCAGCGCATGTAATGCTACAAGCTGCATGGCCCCTGTGCATGACTCCCTCTGTGTGTGTGCGGGTGGCGCTGTGGTCTAAACCACCAAGCCTCTTGGGCTTGCCGATCAGAAGGTCGGCAGTTCGAATCCCCACGACGGGGCGAGCTCCCATTGCTCAGTCCCTGCTCCTGCCCACCTAGCAGTTCGAAAGCCAGTGCAAGTACCGTATTTTTCGCTCTATAAGACGCACTTTTCCCCTCCTAAAAAGTAAGGGGAAATGTGTGTGCATCTTTTGGAGCAAAAGCAGGCGGGAGGCTCTGCTCAGCGCTCCCTTTAAAGAATATTTTTGTCCTGGCATTCTCCCTCTCAAAACTACCGTATTTTTTGCTCTATAAGACTCACTTTTCCCTCCTAAAAAGTAAGGGGAAATGTGTGTGCGACTTATGGAGCGAATGCAGGCTGCGCAGCTATCCCAGAAGCCAGAACAGCAAGAGGGATTGCTGCTTTCACTGCGCAGCGATCCCTCTTGCTGTTCTGGCTTCTGAGATTCAGGAAAAAAAAATCTCTTGTTTTCCTCCTCCAAAATCTAGGTGCGTCTTATGGTCAGGTGCATCTTATAGAGCGAAAAATATGTTAGGTGCGTCTTATGGTCAGGTGCGTCTTATGGGGCGAAAAATACGGTAGGTAAATAGGAAGGTAAATAGCATTTCCATGCGCTCTGGTTTCCGTCACGGTGTCCCGTTGCACCAGAAGCGGTTTAGTTCTGCCGGCCGCATGAGCTGGAAAGCTGTCTGTGGACAAACGCCAGTTCGCTTGGCCTGAAAGCGAGATGAGCGCCGCAACCCCAGAGTTGCCTTTGACTGGACTTAACCGTCCAGCGGTCCTTGACCTTTTTACCTGCATGCACACATGTGCGCTAGAGTAAGGTTACCAGATTTTTTTCAATGAATCCGGGGACACTTTTCAACTTCAATGGATTTTGTCAGGGGTAAAGGTAAAGCTAAGGGGCCCCTGACCATTAGGTCCAATCGTGGCCGACTCCGGGGTTGCGGCGCTCATCTCGCTTTATTGGCCGAGGGAGCTGGCGTACAGCTTCCGGGTCATGTGGCCAGCATGACTAAGCCGCTTCTGGCGAACCAGAGCAGTGCACGGAAACGCCCTTTACCTTCCTGCCAGAGTGGTACCTATTTATCTACTTGCACTTGGACGTGCTTTCGAACTGCTAGGTTGGCAGGAGCAGGGACTAAGCAATGGGAGCTCACCCCGTCGCGGGGATTTGAACCGCCGACCTTCTGATTGGCAAGCCCTAGGCTCAGTGGTTTAACCCACAGCGCCACCCGCGTCCCCATTTGTCAGGGGACTGTTTTGTAAATCTGGGGACTGTCCCCGGGGAACGTCTGGTAACCTTACGCTAGAGAAGACCGTTCTCCATTCCCACCCCCCTCCTCACGACGACGTACTCCTCTATTCGGTCCGGAGCGCCCCATCCGCGCTCAGGGTCGATGTCCCCGTGTCCCAGGTGCACGAAGGAGCTGCGGATGGGGAGGCTGATCTGCGGCGTGCCAGCAGGGGGCGCTTCGTCCTCCGGCTTTGCTATGGACGACGGGAAGATCCCCACCCTCAGGGTCCGCCTGTTCTGGCCTCGCCACGTCGAAGAATCGGGGCTGGAAAAGAGAGAGGGTGTGGGTCAGAGAGATCAATTCCCCCACCTGATGCTTCAACAACCACTGCAGAACATGAGTCCACAGGATCAGGCCAATGGTCAATCGAACCTATCCGTCTTTTCTCACAGTGGCCCAATGGGAAACCCACAAGCAGGATTCAAACTCAAGAGCCACTCTCCTCTCCTGCGGTTTCCAGCAACTGGCTTTCAGGAGCAGCACTGCCTCTGATTGTGAAGGGAGATCATAGCGCAGGTCAATTCTGTGTCCAGGGCAGCTGTCTACCAGCTCCATCTGGTACGCAGAATGAGACCCACCCTGCCTGCAGACTGTCTTACCAGAGTGACGCATGCTATGGTTATCTCTCGCTTGGACTACTGCAATGCGCTCTATGTGGGGCTACCTTTGAAGGTGACCCAGAAACTGCAACTAATCCAGAATGCGGCAGCTAGACTGGTGACTGGGGGCGGCCGCCAAGACTATATAACACCGGTCTTGAAAGACCTACATTGGCTCCCAGGACATTTCCGAGCACAATTCAAATTGTTGGTGTGGACCTTTAAAGCCCTAAATGGCCTCAAAGGCCCAGTAGACCTAAAGGAGCATCTCCACCCCCATCGTCCAGTCCAGACACTGAGGTCCAGCAGCGAGGGCCTTCTGGGGGTTCCCTCCCTGCGAGAACTGAGGTTACAGGGAACCAGGCAGAGGGCCTTCTCGGTGGTGGCGCCCGCCCTGTGGAACGCCCTCCCACCAGATGTCAAGGAAATAAACAACTACCAGACATTTAGAAGACATCTGAAGGCAGCCCTGTTCAGGGAAGCTTTTGATGTTTAATAGATTATTGTATTTTAATATCCTGTTAGAAGCTGCCCAGAGTGGCTGGGGAAACCCAGCCAGATGGGCAGAATAATAATAATAATAATAATAATAATAATAATAATAATAATAATAATAATAATAAATATTTATACCCCTCCCATCTGGCTGGGTTTCTCCAGCCTTTCTGGGTGGCTCCCAACAGAATATTAAAAACACGATTAAACATCAAACATTAAACGTCAAACATAATAGCCTCTCTTGATGGATGGATGGAGAGAGAAAGAAAGAGAGAGAGAGAGAGAGAAAGAAAGAAAGAAAGAAAAAGAAAGAAAGAAAGAAAGAAAGAAAGAAAGAAAGAAAGAAAGGGAGAGATGGGGAGAAGGAAGGAAGGAAAGGAGGGAGGGAAGGGAGAAGCCATTAGCAATAAAGCTTCTATAGAGAATGAAAGGGTCAACGAAGGGAGATAACTGCCAGAGGGAGGTACAGATTGAGGACCAGATACTTGAAAAATCAACAACACGAAAGCCAGGACACAAGCTTTAGAGAAGGGTTTCCTCTGGCCCCAACACCCCGCTCCCAAAGGGGACCCAGGCGTCCTGGACTCACCTCCCTTCAATCACCGTGATGCCATCGTTTGCCTCCAGACGCAGCCAGCCGGGTTCGTTCAGATCCTGGGACGCCTTCACTTCTTTGGGACGGAGCTATGTTGGAGGGAGAGACGGGACGGTGGAGACGATGCCCAGGGGACCCTGAGGGTCATCTAGCCCAACCCCCTGAAATGCAGGAATCTTTTGCCAAGCACGGGCCTCGAACCCACAACCTTGAGATTCAGATGCTCTGCCCCCTGCCACCCCCTTGCCTCTTAGGGCCCCCCCCCCAGCCAGGTAATTCCACGGCCCCAGGGGGTGCTGCTGCCCATTTTGGGACCCATGCAACAGTCACCTCCAGGCTTGACTACTGTAATTCGCTCTACGCGGGGCTGCCCTTGAAGCTGACCCAGAAACTCCAGCGGGTGCAGAATGCAGCAGCGGGACTCCTCACAGGGGTCCTTGCCGCGGGATCCCATTCATCCAGTGCTTTACCAGTTGCACTGGCTCCCGGTGGAGTACAGGGTCAGGTTCAAGGTGCTGGTTTTGACCTTTAAAGCCCTTTGTGGCTTAGGGACCTTGTATTTATGGGACCGCCTCTCCTGGTCTGCCCCGCAGAGGACTTTAAGGTCCATGAATAATCATAGTTTAGATGGCCCTGACGAAGTCAGATTATCCTCCACCAGGGCCAGGGCCTTCTCAGTGGTGGCTCCGACCTGGTGGAATGCTCTGTCCCAGGAGACCAGGGCCCTGCAGGATTTAACCCCCTTCTGCCGGGCCTGTAAGACAGAGCTATTCCGCCTGGCTTTCAATTTGAATTCAGCCTGATCTTTCATTCCCCTTCCTTCCCTCCCCCTTCCCGTTTTATGAAGATTACCCGCTCTGGGATCCCAGAGCTAATTCTCCCCTGGTCTCCTCGCTGGCCCAAGTAGGACCAATTCAGCCAGCTAGCCCTGGTGATCATCTAATGTTTATTGGATGGATTTCCCCCCTAAATTGATTTTTGAATTCTGAATTTATTGTTATTCACATTTTATACTGTACCGTATTTTATGCTGTTTTTTGTTGCATCAATTAAGTGTTTTAAATTTGTTGTTAGCTGCCCTGAGCCCAGTTTTCTGAACCAGGAAGGGCGGGGTGTAAATAAAAATTTATTATTATTATTAAAGTCTCATTTTTTATGGGAGAAATTCGCACCCAGGTCAGCCCAGCCGCCGACAGTTTCCCTTCTCTCACCTCTTGCAGAAGGCTGACAATCTCCCGGAAGCGGGGTCTGTCCTCTGGGTTGTGGGCCCAACATTTCATCGCCAGGGCGTGGATTTCTCGGGGGCAGTCGTCAGGGCGCTCCAGCCGCCGTCCTTCCCTGTCAATCTTCATCATGATCTGGTCGGGGAGGAATGGATGGGAAACGACAGCATTTAGGTCCCCATTTCTCTACATTTGCATCAGACATAAAACTTCCATTAAAAGCACTCAAAAGTTATGTTTCATAGCCAGGCAGCAGAAAATTATAATACTCACATCTCACAGAGGGAACGACGGTAAAAAAAGCATTAAAAAACCATACAGTCAAATCGTAAAGAACTCTAAAACAAGTTATAAAGGAAAAAACTTTTCTCTAAAATGCACAATCTGTTATTAGATTGGGAAACAAAAGATGAGTTTGTCAAAGGCTGTATGACACACTGGGCAATAGTTAGAGGCAGTTCTTCCCCCCACCCCAAAAAAATGTTTAGGGGTACTCTCATTTTGACTCAAGAAAATCACCATTTTATAGTTGGAAAAGGGAAAAATAAATGCAGTCAATGGACAAAAGTACAAAGATTCACAAAATGTTTAGGGGTATGCGTACTACTAGGGACGCGAGTGGCGCTGTGAGTTAAACCACAGAGCCTAGGACTTGCTGATTATAAGGTTGGTGGTTCGAATCCCCGCGACGGGGTGAGCTCCCGTTGCTCGGTCCCTGCTCCTGCCAACCTGGCAGTTCGAAAGCACACCAGTGCAAGTAGATAAATAGGTACCACTCCAGCGGGAAGGTAAACGGCATTTCCATACGCTGCTCTGGTTTGCCAGAAGCGGCTTAGTCCTGCTGGCCACATGACCCAGAAGCTGTACGCCGGCTCCCTCGGCCAATAAAGCGAGATGAGCGCGGCAACCCCAGAGTCGGCCACGACTGGACCTAACGGTCTGGGGTCCCTTCATCTTAACCTATGCGTACTACTGCGTCCCCCCAGAAAAAAAAGCACTGGATATAGGGCATAATATAAATTTTAATATCTGGGGATGCATTCAAAAAATCTACACTTTCATGATCATCCACCGGGCTTGTTTCTTGGCCTTTAAAATTAAAAATACAAACATTTGGACCTCTGTCTTGCTACAGTCACACACATTTATAGAAATCAGCATTTCTCTACATGCACGGTCTCAGAGTCTTGTGACGCCACGAAGCCTGCAGATTTGTTGCAGCGGCATCTTTTGCGAGCCACAGTCCACATCACTGAATGCGGAAGAGGTTATCTTGCAGCAGCGCATATCTCTCTTCTGCCAGTCAAAATAAGAACCGGCAGCACGCTGGCTCATAGGAGGTGGAGCCCCAAACATCTGGCGGGGACCGGGTTGGAAAAAGGCTGTGGTGATGCATCGTGAGGGCAACTAAAAACCTCGGACGTTAGATTCCCTTTAAGAAAGTCTGGGAGCCACTCAGAATACTTGAACCCTTCTGCGTTGCACGGGGTTTGGCTAGATGACCGCGTGGGGTCCCTTTTAACTCATGGTGGCGGCGAAGGATCCATAGACAGATGTCTCAGGTCAAGAAGGAGTTAGGTGTCGTTGTTTTGTTGTTGTTGTTGTTGAGTCGTTTAGTCGTGTCCAACTCTTCGTGACCCCCTGGACCAGAGCACGCCAGGCACTCCTGTCTTCCACTGCCTCCCGCAGTTTGGTCAAACTGGACCATAAAGAAGGCTGATCGCCGAAGAATGGATGCTTTTGAATTCTGGTGCTGGAGGAGACTCTTGAGAGTCCCATGGACTGCAAGAAGATCAAACCTCTCCATTCTGAAGGAAATCAGCCCTGAGTGCTCACTGGAAGGACAGATCCTGAAGCTGAGGCTCCAAGACTTTGGCCACCTCCTGAGAAGAGAAGACTCCCTGGAAAAGACCCTGATGTTGGGAAAGATGGAGGGCACAAGGAGAAGGGGACGACGGAGGACGAGATGGTGGGACAGTGTTCTCGAAGCTACCAGCATGAGTTTGACCAAACTGCGGGAGGCAGTGGAAGACAGGAGGGCCAGGCGTGCTCTGGTCCGTGGGGTCACGAAGAGTCGGGACACGACTAAACAACAACAATTTTGACAAATAATTTGCTGGGGCAAATCCTCTCCCATTATCTTTTATTGCTGGGGTCTAGAACTGCAATAAAGAACTAAAACGTACGTGCAAATTTTGTTCCATTTCTGTGGCCGGTTTATATTCCTCCTCCTCCTTTTTTCAGAGCGATGGAAAGACAGACTCAAACCCCGCCCTGTAAATTAGGCCATTGCAGTTATCCTAACATTGCTTATGTCGCGCGTGACGGGGTGTGTGGTTAAAGAAACTGGGTCTTCCCCGAGGCTCTACTGCAAAAGTTCACAGATGAATGAGACTTGAATCACAAGAGGGCATCTGGGGTCACAAAAATCTCCTGACCCTGATTGTCTGCACAAGCCTTGGAGTCACTGGCGAAGAATGAGGTTAAGGAGGGACACGGTTTCTCGAGGGTTAAAGGAGGCCGGTTCTGATGTGGAGGTTAAAAGTATTATGATAAGATGGGCTCAGGATCTGGGACATAACATTGATTTTGAGAGATGGGGAAAACTATGGACAAAAACAATAAAATTTACAGCATGTGTGGCTCTTAAAGAGAACGTAATGAAGATGATGTACCATTGGTAAAGGTAAAGGTAAAGGGACCCCTGACCATTAGGTCCAGTTGCGGCCAACTCTGGGGTTGCGGCGCTCATCTTGCTTTATTGGCCGAGGGAGCCGGCGTAGAGCTTCCGGGTCATGTGTCCACTATTCGGCCAGGCGGTTTGTGTGCAGAGATTGTTACAACACAACTCAAAGTGTTGGTGCTGACCTTGAAAGCCCCAAACGGCCTCAAAGGCCCAGTATCCCTGAATGAGCGTCTCCACTGCATGCCCGGATACTGAGGTCCAGCTCCGAGGGCCTTCTGGCAGTTCCCTCCCTGTGAGAAGTAAGGTTACAGGGAACCAGGCAGGGGGCCTTCTCAGTGGTGGCACCTGCCCTGTGGAACTCCCTCCCACCAGATGTCAAAGAGAAAAACAACTACCAGACTTTTAGAAGACATCTGAAGGCAGCCCTGTTTAGGGAAGCTTTTAATGTTTAATAGGTTATTGTATTTTAGTGTTTAATAGGTTATTGTATTCCTCAGAGATGGGCAGGGTATAAATAAATTTTTTATTATTATTATTATTATTATTATTATTATTATTATTATTATTATTATTTCTCAACGTTCCTTCCCAAGGAGCTTGGGGGAAAAAGATTTACCAGCAAATAGATATACCACAGAAAAGCAAAAATGTTTTAAAACAAATCAAAATATTCCGGAAAAAATTCTAAAAACAGTACAGTGGTACCTCCGTTTACAAATTTAATCCGTTCTGGAAGTCCGTTCTTAAACCAAAACCATTATTATTATTATTATTATTATTATTATTATTATTATTTATTACCTGCCGTCCGGAGTATCCCATCCAAGGTTCTTCGCAGTAGGAGAACATTTCCCAGAGGGTGACGCCGAACATCCACACGTCGGAGGCGCTGGTGAAGACCCCCATGCGCAAGCTCTCTGGGGCGCACCTGAGAAGGCAGAGGAGGGAGAGCCAATCAGAACAACCCCATAGCAAAGTGCAGGCAGCGCGGTGCAGTGGTTAGAGCAGAGGACTGGGACCTGGGTTCGAATTGCATTCTGAAAACGTCTATTCAAATCTTCATTTTTGAAAGAAAGAACTGTTGTGGGAACGTGGATCAGATCCCCTTGCCCCAGAGTGGGGTTTTATATGTATATATATTTTTGCAAGGTGGGTTCAAAAACTCCTACCAGGCGAAAGGGATGCGCCGGTGCGCGGACATGATGTAGCGGTCGCTCTTGCTGGACAGCGGCCTCATGAGCCCGAAGTCGCCGATCTTGACCGTCTCCTCGGAGGCCAGGAGGATGTTGCGAGCGGCCAGGTCGCGGTGGACAAAGAGCTTGGATTCGAGGTACGACATCCCTTGGGCGACTTGCAGGGCGTAGCTCCAGAGCTGGTGGAGAGGGAAGGGGGGCCGGAGGCGGTCGTAGAGGGCGCCCAGGGGGGCCAGCTCAGTCACCTGCGGGGGAGGCAGAGAGGCAGGGCTGGATTAAAAAGAGCCTGGAAGGGGGTCCCCTAGCGGCCATCTAGACCAACCCTCTGCTGTTATGTACTAAAGTTCTCTCCCTGGGCCAGCAGGGGGATACTGTAGATAGTTATGCAAATGAAGGATTGAAAGTGACGTTCAGTGATTCAGCTCCGTTCAGAGGGTGGCCGCATCTGGCTGTGCTCTGATGTCCATCGATCCCATCCTCGTTGCCAGTGTTAAGTTGTGGGTGAACATATCAGACGACACATTGATTCTTCAAACAGCTCTTGTTTATTCAGAGGCCAGAACAGAACTGACTGAAGGGTTCAGTCAGCCTGCTTATATAGAGCTCCAGTACAACGTTACTGTAGCAACTTTCTAAAACTGTCCAATCACTGAACGTCACTATCGATCCTTCATTTGCACAACTATCTACAGTATCCCCCTGCTGGCCCAGAGTGAGAACTTCAGTACATAACATCTGCAATGCGGGAACTGTGTGATGTGAGCAGTCAAGTACAACATTCCTTGTTTTCCTAGAGTGGACATGCAGGGGAAAACTCCGTTTCCTCCTGGGCTGGGACATACTTCCTTTGCATGTGACTTCCTTTGCATCTGAAGGCAGCCCTGTTCAGGGAAGATTTTAATGTGTGATCACCTTGCCAACAAAGGTCCATATAGTTAAAGCTCTGGTTTTCCCAGTAGTGATGTATGGAAAGTGAGAGCTGGACCATAAAGAAGGCTGACCGCCGAAGAATGGATGCTTTTGAATTATGGTGCTGGAGGAGACTCTTGAGAGTCCCATGGACTGCAAGAAGATCCAGCCTATCCATTCTGAAGGAAATCAGCCCTGAGTGCTCACTGGAAGGACAGATCCTGAAGCTGAGGCTCCAAGACTTTGGCCACCGCATGAGAAGAGAAGACTCCCTGGAAAAGACCCTGATGTTGGGAAAGATGGAGGGCACAAGGAGAAGGGGACGACGGAGGACGAGATGGTGGGACAGTGTTCTCGAAGCTACCAGCATGAGTTTGACCAAACTGGGGGAGGCAGGGGAAGACAGGAGGGCCTGGCGTGCTCTGGTCCAGGGGGTCACAAAGAGGCGGACACGACTCAACAACAACAACATGAAGTCTCAAATCTTTACCATCTTGAGGGGCTGAGTTAGGACCACCCCATGGAGGCGTAGAAGGTTAGGGTGGTTCAGACAGCACATGGCGTTGACCTCATTGAGGAAATCGATCAGGGCGCCTGGGTCACAGGAGACGTCGGAGCGCAGGGATTTGACAGCGACGGGTTTCTGGGGAAGGGGAAAAAGGGGTCAGATCAAAGAATCGCTCAGTAGAAACCAGTAGAGTTCTGGTCACTTCGCCTGAAAGAGGATTTTTTGAATTGTAAACTGCCCCTGTGATCGTCGAATGAAAGGTGGTACAGTGGTACCTTGGTTCCCAAACACCAAAAACCCAGAAGGAGGTGTTCTGGTTTTCGAACATTTTTCAGAAGCTGAACGTCCGATGTGGCTATCCGCTATCGTTTCCGGGGCGCCTGCACCAATCAGAAGCTGTGCCTTGGTTTTTGAACATTTCAGAAGTCGAACAGACTTTTGGATTAAGTTTGGCGCTTTTGTTTTTGCTATTTATTTTGCGTTTTTGTTTCTGAGGCTTTTTCGGTTAATTTGTTTTTTTGTGACTCTGTGGAACCCAGTTCAGCTACTGATTGATTGATTGTGTGACTGTGGAAATGGATTAAAAAAAACCCCATTCAAACAATGACTATCATCAGTGCAGGTAAGAAAAAAAAAATTATCATCTGCAATACTGTCTTATTTATTTTATAGTACAGTACATTGATTATTGCATTCATTTTATGGATCAATGATCTCATTAGACAGTAAAAATCATGTCAAATTGGTGTGTTTAAAGGGGTTGGAACAGATTAATCCATTTTGCGTTACTTTCTGTAGGAAAGTGTGCCTTGGTTTTGGAACATGCTTTGGTTTTGGAACAGACTTCCAGAACGGATCAGGTTTGAGAACCAAGGTACCACCATATAGGAATTTAATAAATATAACAACAGCAACAACATTCTAGAGTTTGGAAAGGGTTTGGGAAAGGGCAACCAAAAGAGACAGAGTGGAAATTTATCACATTATGCATGGCAAGAGGATAGGCGGAAGTTTTCCTCCCTCTCTCGTAACCCTAGGACACCCAGTGAAAAGATTCAGGGTGGATAAAAGGAAGTCTTTCTTTGAGCATAAACTGTGGAACTCCCTGCCACAAGAGGCAGTGACGGCCATGAACATGGGTGCCTTTAAAAGAGGTTTTGGCAAATTCACGGAAGAGGAGAGGACGCTATCAATGGTATCATGACGCCTACAGCTCTCTCTTGCCATTTTTGACCAGGGCCTGATATTGCACGGTAGACTGCTTCTAGACCCGGAGGCTCCACTAAGCCGTCTATTAACAGACAGCTATTGGGTGGGTGGGGGACGCGGGTGGCGCTGTGGGTTAAACCACTGAGCCTAGGACTTGCCGATCAGAAGGTCGGCGGTTCAAATCCCCGCAACGGGGTGAGCTCCCATTGCTCGGTCCCTGCTCCTGCCAACCTAGCAGTTCAAAAGCACCTCAAAGTGCAAGTAGATCAATAGGTACTGCTCTGGCGGGAAGGTAAACGGCGTTTCCGTGCGCTGCTCTGGTTCACCAGAAGCGGCTTAGTCCTGCTGGCCACATGACCCGGAAGCTGTACGCCGGCTCCCTCGGCCAGTAAAGCGAGATGAGCGCCGCAACCCCAGAGTCGGCCATGACTGGACCTAACGGTCAGGGGTCCCTTTACCTTTACCTATTGGGTGGGTAGAAAAGGAAGGATTCTGATTGTGCTGGTCTTTCTATCTGGCAACTCTGATGCTTAACATGGCCAGGCTCGGGCCTGGGTTCAAATCCCCACTCAGCCATGAAGTTCGCACGGGCAAATCGCAACCTCTGATGCATCCCTACCCAACAGGGTTGTCGCGAGGGTGGAATGGGCTTGTTTGGGGGTTCCTCTGGAGGAAAGGCACGATATAACGTAACGCTAGTAAAGGTAAAGGGACCCCTGACCATTAGGTCCAGTCGTGGCCGAACTCTGGGGTTGCGGCACTCATTTCGCTTTATTGGCTGAGGGAGCCGGTGTACAGCTTCCGGGTCATGTGGCCAGCATGACAAAGCCGCTTCTGGCGAACCAGAGCAGCACACGGAAACGCTGTTTACCTTCCCCTGGAGCGGTACCTATCTATCTACTCGCACTTTGACGTGCTTTCGAACTGCTAGGTGGGCAGGAGCTGGGACCGAGCAACAGGGGCTGACTCCGTCACGGGGATTCGAACCGCCGACCTTCTGATCAGCAAGTCCTAGGCTCTGTGGTTTAACCCACAGCGCCACCCGCATCCCAAATGTAACGCTAGACGACCTTAAATTGTCCTTTTTTTGTGGCGGACAGAAAAGCCCAGAGGAAAACCAAGAGGGAGAGAGAAAAAGTTGGGAAAGAAAGGGGGGGAGGGTGGCCCCACCCCCTTTGGGCTGTGGCCCCGCCCACTCCTTGAAAGCGGCCCCCAATAGATGGGATGCGGCCCCCCGCAGGTTCCCCCCCCTGAAATAAACAAGCAAACAGCCCAGCAGCGACAGTTCGGCTCAGATGCAACTGGGAAGGTCCCAGGTCCAGAGGACGGCTATCCAACAGGTAAATAAGCAAAGGAACCAGAGTCGGGGGGGATGAAAACGTACCACTCCCCCGCCGGGCGTGCTCCACTCGGCGCGATGCACGACCCCAAAGCAGCCGTCGCCCAGCCGCTCCCGGATCCGCAGGTCCCACTCGCTGATCAGGCACTTGAGAGAGGCGTCGGCGTCGGCCCGGGGGGTCGGGCAGGGCTGGGCTGGGCTGGGGGCTTCGTCGCTCTCGGGGATCCGCGTCCCAGTGAACATCTACGTCAGAAATAAGAAAGGGAATTACCAACGGCTGAAGAATGGCAGGCGAAGGTGATGGACGATGCGGAAACTGGCAAAGCTGACGGGCAAAATCCAAAACCAGAGCGACCAAACATTTAAAAGAGAATGGAGTAAATTTATTCCATATTTAGACCATCACTGTAAACATATAAAGACACGTTTCAGAGAGAATGGAGTAAATTTATTCCATATTTAGACAATCACTGTAAACATATAAAGACACTAGTAGGACTGAGATAAAAGTCACAATGGTCAAAACAGGCGTGCCCAATTTTTTTCAAAGAGGGTCAGATTTGATGAAGTGAGCTTTTTTTTAGGAATGATTGAAATTGTTGAGTCAAGATGTTAACTGATATGCATGAAATTTCAGATTTAGCTATATAATCCCTAGTGTAGTAAGACAAGACCTTTGGAGCAGGCAATTTTTTAAAAAATGTTTTTTTATGAACCACCCTACTGGGTAGGTCCGCCTTACAACAGAAACTTGTTTTTAATCATTGAGACCCAGTCGCAGATGTGCGGTTTGCGGGGCAAGAGATTTCAGGAAGAAGGACACACCGATGTCCATTCAAATCTAACTTCGCGCCCTCAAGTGGTGGTGCAGAGAATTACACTTCCTGTTTTGCCAGGAAGGAGGGGCAGCCATCTTTGTCCCTGGACTGGCATAACTCAATTTACTTCCGATTTTACGACCACGACCCTAATATTTGTGTGTTTCTTCAAGGCAGGCAGAAAGTACCCACCTTATAGACCCAGGACATGGGGCGCTGGCCTTGAGGTTTCCTCCTCTTCAAGGCTTCCTCCAACCGTCTCTGTCCTAAAGGAGAGGGATGAAATCTCGAGCTCAAATTATTGCAAATTATGACCCTTGGGGCCATTTTAGCTTTTTTGGACCTAACTGGTTAGGACTCCAAGGCTCCCATCATCCCTGGAAATCTTTTGCATGCAACAAAAAGAGCCCAGCCTTTACTCAATGCTTGGTGCCAGGGTGAATTTGATTTAAATCAAATCAATTTAAATCACTAGTCCCTAAGACGTGATTTAAATCTCTTTTTTACAGAAAGGTTCAACCTTGCTGGCACCCTCTTAATATTTACAACCAGAGGAAGGTTTCGTTTTTTGGAATAATACATTTTCAGAGTAGTTTTTACAGTTATATCAAAGATTACTGATTTGGTTATACTGCTACAAATGCAAAGATAGGTAATGATGAAATTATTGTTTATATTTGGACATCTTTTCTGCTGTACTTTACTGGAAGGAGAAAAACAACCATTTCCTTCATAACAATTTAAACAATTTATTTAACTAAAACAATAACAGTATAGCATATGTATCCATGCTTGTTAACTGATGTGGTTAAACGATTTCTTTTTTAAAAACCCCAACTTAGACTGAGTTTTAGCACACATGAAAAACTTAAAACAAACCCTTATTTCCTGATGAATAGCCTTTGGACTATAATATAACTTAAACAGAAAATTATCTTTAGAAAGATTTTTCCTCTAAAATATTTTTAAAATCCGATTCAAATTTTTAAAAAAATCTGATTTTTTTTATTTTTAAAAAAACACATTGATTTTTATCCACCCTGCCTGGTTCCTTTGGAAAGCAGAGAACTGCATTTTATAAATAATAATCAATGCTATTCTATGCTGTACTACACTGAAATGCTTAAATGTTTCTTTGGTTGTCACTGGATTTTCCTAGATTCAGGTAGGTGTTGGTGTGTTGGTGTTGGTGTGACAGTCGAAATATATATATAAAAATTGTCCAGTAGCACCTTAAAAAGATAAAGGGACCCCTGACCATTAGGTCCAGTCGCGGACGACTCTGGGGTTGTGGCGCTCATCTCACTTTACTGGCCAAGGGAGCCGGCGTATAGCTTCCGGGTCATTGGCCAGCATGACTAAGCCGCTTCTGGCGAACCAGAGCAGCGCACGGAAACGCCGTTTACCTTCCTGCCGGAGCAGTACCTATTTATCTACTTGCACTTAAGGGTGCTTTCGAACTGCTAGGTGGGCAGTAGCAGGGACCGAGCAACGGGAGCTCACTTCTTCAAATACCATGCACCCAAATGCATATACCAAGAACAAACTTAATTGGTCTCTAAGGTGCTACTGGACAATATATATATATATATATATATATTTGCTTTCGTAGATTTTCACGGGTACAGGAATGCAGGTTTTGGTGTCCTCGGGTGTCTTCCCGTGTAAAAGTTGGGGTGTCTAGGCGACGTTTCGACGAGGTCTCACTCGTCATCTTCAGGCTGGTGCTTTCGGCTTCTTGTTACTGGAACAGAGCAGGATCTCAGTGTTTGAGTTCCTATAAATACTGTTGAGGAGGTGTGGTGTATAGCCTCCAATGTTCTGGGCAGAGAGGAAGTTCCCAGGCTAGTGTGCCTTTTCTTCTTTTGTTCCTTAATTACTTGAGGGATATCTTGAGTGATTTCTTGAGTGATATCCTGAGTGCCACTTAGGTGGGTCATTAGGTGTGGATTAGTTGCTAAAGCCTTCGTGTTTTTCTGAGAAGATGGCTGTACTGCACTTAGTTGTGCTCTGGCTTGGCTTCGTGTATAGGGGCGAGATGTGGTTTTGTGGCTTGTGCCAGCCAGATCTGTGTAGGGATTGCAGGGGGGTGCAGCATCCGGAGGTGCCAACATGGTTTGGCTACTGGATGGAGTCTGTAATTTATCTGTGGAGAGGGTCTGGGTTTGGGTCTGGTGTGGTTGATTGGTGATGGCGTTCTGTGTGCCTCTGGATCTGGTGTCGGTTTTTGTGGGGAGGGCTAATTTCCAGATGTCTGGCAGGCGGGATGTGTCGTCACGCTTGTTCATGTTGTGAGGGTGTTTCTCTATCTCGATGGCTTCCATGATTATTCTCTTGTGGTGATGTTCCATGTTAAAGAGCAATTTGGAGTCTGCAAAATTAATTTCGTGTCCTGTTTCTTTCATGTGTTGGAAAAGAGAGGAAGTTTTTTCTTCTTTTTTGACGGCATTCTTGTGTTCTGCGATGCGTGCATTTATTCGTCTGTTTGTTTGTCCAATGTACGTGGCTGGGCAGACTTTGCAGGGTATTTCATAGACCCCTTGGTTTTCCAACTGGATTTTATCCTTGGGGTTTCTGAGGATATTGGCTATTTTTTGGTTGGTGCAAAAGGCTGTTTTGATATTGTGTTTATGGAGGATTTTGCTAATTTTATCTGTAGTGCCCTTGATATAAGGAAGGAGGGCCATGCCATTGTTTTCTTCTGTGTCTTGGTTTTTGGGGGGTGTTTCTTTTTGGATTAGCTTCGTAACCCTGTTTTGCTGGTATCCATTGGCGATTAACACATTTGAGAGATTCTGTAACTCAGTTGTCAAGTGGTCTTTGTCAGCCAGGCGTTTGGTTCTGGAGATGAGAGTCTTGGCTACGGAGTTTATTTGTGCAGGGTGGTGGTGTGATTGTGCATGTAAGTAGCGGTTGGTGTGTGTTTTTTTCCGGTAGATAGTGTGTCCTAGGAGCCATCAGGTTTTTTGTAGATTAGGACGTCAAGGAAGGGAAGTTGGTTGTTGGCTTCTATTTCCATAGTGAATTGTATTTTGGGGTGTAGGCTGTTGAGATGTGTGACCCTACCTACCAACCTATAAAAACAGATCCCACCACCTATCTGGAAAAAACCACCAAATCCAAAATAAAAGCCTCTCCTATCAGTGAAGAAATCCAGCTAAGAATCATCCCCAGAGAAAAATCATCCAGATGCCCCAAACTCTACGGCCTCCCCAAGATACACAAAGAAGGAACACCACTCAGACCAATAGTCAGCTCCATAGGCTCACCTCTACAAAATCTCGCTAAATTTCTCGCTAAGCAACTTCAGCCCTATGCAGAATCCATCTCTTCACACGTTACAAACTCCTTCCAGTTCATAGAAACAATAAAGAAGCAAAACCTACATCCCAATGACCTACTTGTGAGCTTCGATGTTGTATCTCTCTTCACACAAGTGCCCATTAATGAAGCCTTGACAGCCATTCAAAACAAATACAATCCCCCCGAATACATCCTGGACCTGACCAAACACTGCCTAACCAACACGTACTTCATCCACAATGGACAAAGATACAAACAGATAGAAGGAGCACCTATGGGATCACCCCTCTCACCGGTCATCGCTAACCTGTACATGGAACACTTTGAAACCAATGCTTTAGACAAGTCAGAACACAAACCCAAACTTTGGCTCAGATATGTTGACGACACCTTTGTAATTTGGCCTCACGGGAAGGAAAAACTAGATAGCTTCCTCACACATCTCAACAGCCTACACCCCAAAATACAATTCACTATGGAAATAGAAGCCAACAACCAACTTCCCTTCCTTGACGTCCTAATCTACAAAAAACCTGATGGCTCCCTAGGACACACTATCTACCGGAAAAAAACACACACCAACCGCTACTTACATGCACAATCACACCACCACCCTGCACAAATAAACTCCGTAGCCAAGACTCTCATCTCCAGAACCAAACGCCTGGCTGACAAAGACCACTTGACAACTGAGTTACAGAATCTCTCAAATGTGTTAATCGCCAATGGATACCAGCAAAACAGGGTTACGAAGCTAATCCAAAAAGAAACACCCCCCAAAAACCAAGACACAGAAGAAAACAATGGCATGGCCCTCCTTCCTTATATCAAGGGCACTACAGATAAAATTAGCAAAATCCTCCATAAACACAATATCAAAACAGCCTTTTGCACCAACCAAAAAATAGCCAATATCCTCAGAAACCCCAAGGATAAAATCCAGTTGGAAAACCAAGGGGTCTATGAAATACCCTGCAAAGTCTGCCCAGCCACGTACATTGGACAAACAAACAGACGAATAAATGCACGCATCGCAGAACACAAGAATGCCGTCAAAAAAGAAGAAAAAACTTCCTCTCTTTTCCAACACATGAAAGAAACAGGACACGAAATTAATTTTGCAGACTCCAAATTGCTCTTTAACATGGAACATCACCACAAGAGAATAATCATGGAAGCCATCGAGATAGAGAAACACCCTCACAACATGAACAAGCGTGACGACACATCCCGCCTGCCAGACATCTGGAAATTAGCCCTCCCCACAAAAACCGACACCAGATCCAGAGGCACACAGAACGCCATCACCAATCAACCACACCAGACCCAAACCCAGACCCTCTCCACAGATAAATTACAGACACCATCCAGTAGCCAAACCATGTTGGCACCTCCGGATGCTGCACCCCCCTGCAATCCCTACACAGATCTGGCTGGCACAAGCCACAAAACCACATCTCGCCCCTATACACGAAGCCAAGCCAGAGCACAACTAAGTGCAGTACAGCCATCTTCTCAGAAAAACACGAAGGCTTTAGCAACTAATCCACACCTAATGACCCACCTAAGTGGTACTCAGGATATCACTCAAGAAATCACTCAAGATATCCCTCAAGTAATTAAGGAACAAAAGAAGAAAAGGCACACTAGCCTGGGAACTTCCTCTCTGCCCAGAACATTGGAGGCTATACACCACACCTCCTCAACAGTATTTATAGGAACTCAAACACTGAGATCCTGCTCTGTTCCAGTAACAAGAAGCCGAAAGCACCAGCCTGAAGATGACGAGTGAGACCTCGTCGAAACGTCGCCTAGACACCCCAACTTTTACACGGGAAGACACCCGAGGACACCAAAACCTGCATTCCTGTACCCGTGAAAATCTACGAAAGCATATATATATATATATATATATATATATATATATATACACACACACACACGCACCACTACATAGACACTCCAAGCCAGGGGTCAGCAAACTTTTTCAGCAGGGGGCCAGTCCACTGTCCCTCAGACCTTGTGGGGGGCCGGACTATATTTTGAAGGGGTGAAAAAAATGAACGAATTCCTATGCCCCACAAATAACCCAGAGATGCATTTTAAATAAAAGCACACATTCTACTCATGTAAAAACACGCTGATTCCCAGAGCATGCGTGGGCCAGATTGAGAAGGCGATTGGGCCAGATCCGGCCCCTGGGCCTTAGTTTGCCCACTCATGAACTCCCTGAGGTGTTCAGAATGCCTTCATTCCCGTCTCCCAATTAACCTCCGTCTCCAAGTGCTACCACCATGACATCACCACGGACTTCCCCCGGTGACATCACCACCCCAAGCAGCCTCAGCAACACGCCCCCCTCCCAAAAATAAACCCTGTTGCACCATCACACACAAACTACCTGGGCGCCCATGCCAATGCGTTCCAGATCCGCGGGCTTGACGTAATCAAAATGTCCCGGGCGGGTGACGTGGAGCTCGTTGCGGATTTTGCCGTAAAACTGCTCCAGCTGGATTTCGGACAGCAGCTGGAGCAGCCAGTCGGTGCCATCATCTGGCGCCATGACAGCACCTGGTGGGTTTTTTAAACAGGACTCGCTGGTTAGCAAACAAATAAAAAATAAAAATCTCAATTTAAATAGGGGCAAAAGTACCCCACTGTTTGATTATTTAGAAGATTAGTGCCCAAAAAAGGCTCTCAGAGCTGCTTAGATGAAATTGAAACAAGACAGTCTGAAAAGAGACACAGCACACAAGGAAAAAGGTACAGGGAGGGAAGAGGAAAAACAAAACACAGATGCTAATTTCTAGACAGTTGTTCTTGTATCGACTGGCTGGTGCCATCCAGGCCCAGCCTGGTGGAGTTGCGGAAGCCTGAGGGAATGAAACCCTTTCCCAACGCTACAATATCCTTTCTGGTGTGAGGCAAACAGAACGGTAGACAGTATTTCAAGTCCGGCCACCCTTGTGATATCGGTAGATTAATTCTCAATTATTTTCCTAATGATCCCTGGCATGGAATTTGCCTTCATCACAGGGTCTTTTTTCCTGGTCAGTCACCTTGGGTTTTTAAAAATCCATTTGGGCCTCCTCCTTCTGAGCGTAGCTTGACTCACTCACTCGAGTCATCATTTCCTGCAGTGAGTTTGCTCTCAGCCTGTGGCCTAAATGCTGCTGATTGATCTGCAAGAGTCACTGGGTTAACTCCTCCTCCCTAGGCAGAATGGATTAAAGATTCAGCTCAGCATCGAAAGCAAATTCCGACTGCCGCCATTCAAACCCGCAGCCGATATCCACCTTCATTCTTTTGGGGCGGAAATCAAATAATTACAGAGCTGGAAGGGATTCCAAGAGAGTCATCATTCGAATCCAGCCCCCTGGAAACACAGGAATTGCATCTGACGAATCCCAGAAAATAAAATCCTTATTCTCATGAACAACGCACAGGCAAACTCGGCCCTCCAGATGTTTTGGGACTACAACTCCCATGATCCCTAGTTAACAGGACCAGTGGTCAAGGATGATGGGAATTGTAGTCTCAAAACACCTGGAGGGCCGAGTTTGAGGAAGCCTGCCCTACGACCACGGGGTGAATGGCAGCCAGAAATTCAACAGGTGTAGAAGCAAGCGCTAAGCCAGGCATAGGCAAACTCGCCCTCCAGATGTTTTGGGACTACAACTCCCATGATCCTTTGCTAGCAGGACCAGTGGTCAGGGATGATGGGAGTTGTAGTCCCAAAACAGGCTGAGTTCGCCTAGGCCTGCACTAAGCAACGCCTCCCTGCCGAATTTCCCCTTGCCGCCCGGCTGCGTTCTCGAAAACTGGCCCCTCTGACCCGGCGACCCAGGGCCCCTAAGACCAGCTGCACCTGTGTGATGGCTGCCTGACCTCTTTACCTGCGTGTGTGTGAAGAGAAGGAAGAGCATCTGAACCGCCAAGAGCGGTTCAACCTGGCCAAACCTGTTTCTGCTGGGGGAGGATTTCAGCCGGCGAGACAGGAGGGGTCGGCCTCCCAGGCTGCTGGGGAGACACCCGGACTCCTGGGTTCCTCGCAGGCGAGGGGCGAACCTGGGAAGCTCGACTCGCCCTGGGGGGGGTTTCCCTTTCCTTTTTCTAACTTGGGTGTTTCCAGATCAGCCGGGAATGGCAGAAAAGCCTTGCTCATCTGCAGGCGAGATACTCAGAGTCAGCCTGAGGGCCTGGAGAAGAAAGCGAGGTGTCAGCGGGTTCAGACACCCCAAAATAAGCAATGGGGCAAGGGAGTTTGGTCCTATGGATGGCGGCTAACAGACTGAGGTTGAATCCTGACAAGACAGAAGTACTGTTTGGGGGGACAGGGGGCGGGCTGGTGTGGGGGACTCCCTGGTCCTGAATGGGGCAACTGTGCCCCTGAAGGACCAGGTGCGCAGCCTGGGAGTCATTTTGGACTCACTGCTGTCCATGGAGGCGCAGGTCAGTTCTGTGTCCAGGGCAGCTGTCTACCAGCTCCACCTGGTGCGCAGGATGAGACCCTCCCTGCCCGCAGACTGTCTCGCCAGAGTGGTGCATGCTCTGGTTATCTCTCGCTTGGACTACTGCAATGCGCTCTACATGGGGCTACCTTTGAAGGTGACCCGGAAACTACAACTAATCCAGAATGCGGCAGCTAGACTGGGGACTGGGAGCGGCCGCCAAGACCACATAACACTGGTCTTGAAAGACCTACATTGGCTCCCAGGACGTTTCTGAGCACAAATCAAAGTGTTGGTGCTGACCTTGAAAGCCCTAAATGGCCTCAAAGGCCCAGTAGACCTGAAGGAGCGTCTCCACCCCCATCGTTCCACCCGGACACTGAGGTCCAGCTCCGAGGGCCTTCTGGCGGTTCCCTCACTGCGAGAAGCCAAGTCACAGGGAACCAGGCAGAGGGCCTTCTCAGTGGTGGCGCCCGCCCTGTGCAACGCCCTCCCACCAGATGTCAAAGAGAAAAATAACTACCAAACTTTTAGAAGACATCTGAAGGCAGCCCTCTTTAGGGAAGCTTTTAATGTTTAATAGGTTATTGTATTTTAGTGTTTTGTTAGAAGCCGCCCAGAGTGGCTGGGGAAACCCAGCCAGATGGGCAGGGTATACATAATAAATTATTATTATTATTATTATTATTATTATTATTATTATTATTATTATTACTATGGGAGCCAGGGCTCAGGCTGTGGGGGCAGCAGAAGAGAAGGGAGTAGCATAGAGGCTAGGAGGAGGCATCAGCAAACTTTTTCAGTGGGGGGCCGGTCCCCTGTCCCTTAGACCTTGCAGGGGGCCGGACTATGTTTTGCAAAAGAAAAAAAAGATGAATTCCTATGCCCCACAAATAACCCAGAGATGCATTTTAAATAAAAGGACACATTCTGCTCATGTAAAAACACACTGATTCCCAGAACTGGCAGACAAAATTAATGGACTGTGCAGAATTGGACAAAATGAGAGGAAGGATTCGAAACCTGCAGGACCAGAGATTCACAGATGATCGGAAGGAGTATATGAACTATTTGAAGAGCAATTGTAACCAACAAATTACGCTAGTAGGACTACAAGAAGTTTTGTAAGGAGAAATATACGAAGTGCTAAAAAGATAGAGACATTAGTTATGAGTTTTAAATGTAAAAGTAAGGAATGCATACTAAGAGATTAGATTGGAAAAATTTCAGACAGGACTGATGGAAGTAAAAAAAAAATTTGATTAAGATGTAAAAGTATGTTTAATTACTGTTGGAAATGGTATGTTAAAAAACTAATATTTTTTTAAAAAAAACACACAAACAAAAACACGCTGATTCCCGGGCCATCCGTGGGCCGGATTGAGAAGGCGATTGGGCCGGATCTGGCCCCCGGGCCTTAGTTTGCCTACCCATGGGTTAGGGTGTCGGACTGGGAGAGACCTGGGTGCGAATCTCCCCCACTCCTCACGAAGTTCGCTGGCTGGGACCTCAGGGGCTTCTCTCAGCCTAGAACCTACCTCTCAGGGTCGTTGTAGATATCGCTTGAAGGGCGGGAGAAGCACGCACGCCACTTTGAGGTCTCCGGATCGGGGGGAAAAGTAGGATCCAAATGTGGTAAATAAACGAGGGGGTGCAGGGAATCAGCCCCCCAGACCCCCAAAATTAACCTCGCCCCCCAAAAAGTGGGGGTTATCCCCTTGCCAGTTCCCTCAAAGGGGAAAATTCAGCCAGACAAGCATTCTGATCACAGATCAAAGAGCTGGAAGGGAACCTAGGGGTCATCTAGTCCAACCCGCTGCAATGCGTTTCTGCGCCTCTGTGCTGAGGTTGTGGTGGTGGGGGAACAACACCTGTTGGACATCCACCTGCCACCCGGGTCTTAAAGGCACCAAGCAGTGCTAGCAAAAATTATTATTTTTAAAATGGGCTTTGAAGTACAGAAGGGAAGCATTGGAGAGTCTTCTGGGGACGCAGGACTCCTGGGTTCTTTCCAAAGCCTCTTCCTCTCCTCCGAGCCGCTACCCACCCTCTTCCTTGTCCCACCCCCTCCCGCTGTTGTCCAAACCAGCTCCTGTCCGGAGCACCTCTGTGGCCCCACCCTGTGCCGCAACGTCAAAGTCCAAACCGTGAGCAAATATTGACAAGATGCGCGGCGGCGGACTCAGAGTAAGCTGGCCGCCCAAAAGTCATAAAAAGCTAAAACCTCTCTCAAACTTCAGAGATCCGCAGGCTGCCCAGACCCCGATCCCATTATCGTTTGTTTATTTATTTATTTATTGGTTGCGTTTTTTAATCACACCTTTTATCTCAAAGGAGCCCGTGGCGGAATACATGATTTCTCCCCTCCCTAACAACAACCGTGCAAGGTAGTTTAGGCTGAGAGGCAGCGAAGGGCCAAGGTCAGCTTCCTGGCCAAGTCGGAATTCGAACCCGGCTCTCCCGCTAGGTCCCTGTCCCACGCTCTAACCACTAGACGACACTGCCTCTCGCTGATTTTAGCCGCCTTATTGTAATAAAAGTGGCCCAAAGCTGGCCAAAAGGGTGTTTTCTGGCCCCGATCACTACCTAGTTTCAAAAGCATTCTTGGCAAAGGGGGCGTCCCGATTCGTTTGGACTACTGCCATGTGCTCTACGTGGGGCTACCTTTGAAGGTGACTCGGAAACTTAATGGCCGAACGATCGTGTGATTGAGCAGATGCCTAAATTGCAGCCTGGCAGTCATTTTGGACTCACCGCTGTCCATGGACCTGCAGGTCAATTCTGTGTCCAGGGACAGCTGTCTACCAGCTCCATCTGGTATGCAGGATGAGACCCTTCCTGCCCACAGACTGCCTCGCCAGAGTGGTGCATGCTCTGGTTATCTCCCACTTGGACTACTGCCATGCGCTCTACATGGGGCTACCTTTGAAGGTGACCCGGAAACTGCAACTAATCCAGAATTCGGCAGCCAGACTGGGGACTGGGAGCGGCCGCCAAGACCATATAACACCGGTCCTGAGAGATCTGCATTGGCTCCCAGGACGTTTCCGAGCACAATTCAAACTGTTGGTGCTGACCTTGAAAGCCCTAAACGGCCTCAAAGGCCCACTAGACCTGAAGGAGCGTCTCCACCCCCATCGTTCTGCCCGGACACTGAGGTCCAGCTCCAATGGCTTTTTGGCAGTTCCCTCCCTAAGAGAAGTGAGGTTACAGGGAACCAGGCAGAGGGCCTTCTCGGTGGTGGCGCCCGCCCTGTGGAACGCCCTCCTACCAGATGTCAAGGAAATAAACAACTACCAGACTTTTAGAAGACATCTGAAGGCAGCCCTGTTTAGGGAAGCTTTTAACGTTTGACATTTTATTACATTTTTATATGTGTTGGAAGCTGCCCAGAGTGGCTGGAAAAACCCAGAATATATATATATTGTATGAATAGGAACAGGAACATCCATCTCCCAATAGACTGCGATCTACTCACAGTATAAAAAATCTGGCAGTGATCTACCCATTCTCGTAAGACAGGCATAGGAAACTCAGCCCTCCAGATGTTTTGGGACAACTGTTCCCATCATCCCTGACCACTGGTCCTGTTAGCTAGGGATCATGGGAGTTGTAGTCCCAAAACATCTGGAGGGCTGAGTTTGCCTATTCCTGTCGTAAAAAGACGAGCAGTGATCTACCAAAAGTTGTGGAGCTTTTTTTTAGTAGGACAACGTTTGTCTGTTTTTTGCTTTTTTGGAAAGAGATCACTGAGGGGCCAGAGATCAACCAGGATCTACCAGGAACACCCAGCGATCTACCTGTTGGACATGCCTGATATACCGTACTTTTCGCTCTATAAGACGCACCAGACCACAAGACACACCTAGTTTTTGGAGGAGGAAAACAAGAAAAAAAATATTCTGAATCTCAGAAGCCAGAACAACAAGAGGGATCTCTGCACAGTGAAAGCAGCAATCCCTCTTGCTGTTCTGGCTTCTGGGATAGCTGCGCAGCCTGCATTCACTCCACACATTTCCCCTTACTTTTTAGGAGGGGAAAAGTGAGTCTTATAGAGCAAAAAAAAAGGTATATAAAAAGGCTGCAATGCAGGAAAATTGGAGCGCATTCATTTTGCAGTAGCACAAGAACAGAAGAGCCCAGCTGCTGGGTCAAGCCAGTGGCCCACATAGTCCAGCCTCCTCTTCCCGCAGTGCCAACCGGGTGCCCTAAAGAGAAACCCACAAGCAGGATTCAAACTCAAGACCCACTCTCCCTTCCTGCGGTTTCCTGCAACTGGTACCCAGAAGCATTGCAGCCTTCAACTGTGGAGGCACAGCCATCCTGGCTAGTAGCCATAAATAGCCCTCTCCTCTTCCAGGAATTTCTCCAGTCCGCTTTTAAAGCCATCCAATTTGGCGGCCGTCCCTGCCTACTGTGGCAGGGAGTTCCGCAGTTTAACCATGCGCCGAATGATGTGGTTCATTTATATGTCCTGAATCTGTCCAGACCTTCAGGTGTCCGCGTTTTGCCGTGTTATGAGAAAGGGAGAGAGACCTTTCTCTATTCACTCTCTCATGCTAATCACCTGCTTTCTCGCTAAACAAAAAAAGTCCCAAATGCTCTGATCTTTCTTTTGCAGGTGCAATAGTTTAGCCACATACTGCATGATTTTCCCCCCTTTTAAGCAAGGCAGTGGGGTGTTATTTGGTGGGGTGGGGGTTGCATTTGGTTAAAGACAATGGACTCTCCTCCACCGGAAGTTTTTGAGCAGAGGTTGGAGGGCCAGAGATTTCTCAGCTGCGATTCCTGCGTTGCGGCGGGTTGGTCTAGATGAACCCTGGGTGCACCTTCCAACTCTAGAATTCCACGGTTCTGCAATTTCGGGTCTGGAGAGTTTTGCACATGCTCCCTGCTTTTCTATCCATCCACCGCATTTGCAAACAGCCGGCTTCTTCCATCCAAAGCGTTGTTAATTAGATCCGTGAAACGGTTAGCAAACGTTACTCTAATTCCTTCTATTGTTTGAGGCTCTGCCCACTAACGCAATGCAATTCAAATCGACGGAATAAGCATACATCAGTCCTGGGAGCGTAAGATTTGCAGGGCAAGGTTTGAGCCGGCACCAAACTTTCTCTTTCTTTAGTCAAAGGAATATCTGGGCAAACAGTAGGATTATCTTCACAGAACTGTAAAGTTAGAAGGGATCCCAAAGGTCATCCAGCCCAACCCTCTGAAATGCAGGAATCTATGCAGGAATGTTCCCAGGAGGTCGGGTTACAAATCATGAGGCTGTAACTTTAAAGCGTATGTTTTCCCCCTCAAAGAATTCTGGGTAATGTAGTTTGCTAAGGGTTGCTGGGCGCTGTAACTCTGTGAGACGTTAAACTACATTGCCCAGAATTCTTTGAGGCGTGTGGCAATGCGCTTTGAGTCTATAGCGATCCCTGTGATTGAATTAAATCAAGGGCTCTTGTGCACGGATCCTGATTGCTGGCTTCAAACTGAAGGATCTGTTAAGAACAGGCTGGATGGGCCAGGGGCCTGATCCTGCAGGGAATGTCACAGAGAGACACCAGAATCGTGCAGGTTTTTTTTTCTTCTGGCGGTTCCCTCCCTGCAAGAAGTGAGGTTGCAGGGAACCAGGCACAGGGCCTTCTCGGTGGTGGCACCTGCCCTGTGGAACGCCCTCCCACCAGATGTCAAGGAAATAAACAACTATCTGACTTTAAGAAGACATCTGAAAGCAGCCCTGTTTAGGGAAGCTTTTAATGTTTAATAGGTTATTGTATTTTAATATTCTGTTGGAAGCCACCCAGAGTGGCTGGGGAAACCCAGCCAGATGGGCGGGGTATAAATAATAAATTATTATTATTATTATTAAACTGTGGAACTCGCTGCCTCAAGAGACAGCCGCCCTCTTAGAAACACAGAACCATCGAATTGCAGAGTTGGGACCCCCAACGGCCATCTTGTCTAACCCCGTGCATTGATGGGATCCTGTCCCCTGGGAGGGATCGAACCACCAACCTTCTGCTTAACAGCCAGACGCACAGACAAGTTGAGCCAACTTGGGTGGCTCTCTAAAAGAGGATGAGCCTAGCCGCGGCCACCAGCCATGACGGCTGTGTTTGAAGCTCTGAATGCTGGGGAGCAGCACCGATGTTGCTCTCGTGTTTTGCTTGCGTGTCTCTGCTTGGCTGCTGCGATAACAGGATTCTGGGCTAGCTAGGCCTCCCCCCTCGGCCTGACCCAGCAGCCTCGTCTTCTGCGCTTATGACACATGATTCTGGCCTGCCTGCTGCGTGCTGCTACCTGCCTGCCTCAGTTCCCTCCCTCCGTCTGCGAAATGGGAACATGAGCAACCGTCGCCCCAGAAAATTTCGTCTCCAAGGGTGTGTGGGTTTGGGATGATGATGATGATGATATAGCAACTTAAATGGGCTCTTGTAACCTGCAGCGGCCCGGTGCTTCAAAGCTGGGGAGTTGCTCTCAGGGATAACCCATGAGTGATGCCAGGAAGTCTAACTCTTGCATTAAGACCCAGACATTAATTTTCCCTATTAACGATCCTCCTCCTATTCCCCGGGGGGGCAAGCCGGCCGTCTGTTCAGGTGAGCAAAAAGTCAGGAATGGGGATTTCCTGGGTGTTGAGATTCCTGCATTGGAGGCGGGTTGGGATGGATGACCTCTGAGGGTCCCTTTCGATTTTACAATTCTAGGATTCTATAAGAGAGAGAGATAAGGAGGAAAGGGGGTCAAAGAAAAACCACCTCAGAGGAGGAAGCTGATATAAGTGGGTCAGCCAGGGAGGAGGATAGAGATGAATGTGCAGAACTCGGCGTGGGTGGAGAAGGAGAGAAAGATCAAGCGAAAAAGAGGAGGAAGAAAAAGTAGGTGATAGACAGAACCAACCGGAGATAAGGGAGGGGCGTAAGAGAGTCAGACAGGTAAGGGGGCAAAGGTTTCCCCATTAGGAAAGGAGCAATCTTACCTGCTGCCCCACAATCCCTCGCTCCTTGGGCACTCACCTGGATGGAGGAACCTGTGGC